AACCAATCAACTAATAAATCATGTACTGTAGTTATGCTGCGCATTATATAAATATACTTTCATTTAGTTATTAAATAATCTAAATTTAAATTTATTTAAATTTATTAAAACAATGGATCACTTTAAAATTTATTGAAATTAAGGCAAGCCTAAGGTGACATTTTTGTAATAAAGAATATTGCAAGAACTTGTCCATAGCCTAAGCTTTTGATTTCAAATAAAAATCACATTAGTTTAACACATTTAAATAACCATTCATAGTATTATATACATTAATCTTTTACATAATCATGCCATTATATTGCATTCCTGGTGATCGAAGGTGTCAAGACCCTTAGTATCATATGGAACATTTTTGCAATTCATCATTAAATTTATACAAAGTGTACTACAAATAGATGTACTCTCCATCTAACTGTACAAGTTGATCATTTGATTCCCAATATGCTGCATTCTAGCCATCCTAGTGTCAAAAATATATATGTAAAACTTTTCAGGTCTTTAAGACAGTAAAAAATGATACATAAAAAAAACTCTTTTTATCAATATTTCTACTCACCAACTAAATTTGTTTAATTTAATCATGTAATTAACTGACCAAGGACTAAAAACAATGTATTTAGATATTCATTGTTTGAAAATAATTGATTATAAAATATATAGGACACATGATTTAATTATAGCACTTCATTCATGTATCTTCTGCAGAAAATTAATAATTTTTATTCTTCATGCAGAGAATGTGCATGCACAATAGGGAAAGCAGAGACAGAAAAGAGAGAGGAAGATGTAAAAAGATATGAAAGAGAGAAAACTCATTATAAAACTTTTCATTTAAGCATATGAAACTTTTAACCACATATTTTTAAACAATAATGAGGTTTGGTGACACTGTTGCTAATACATGTATCACTAAATTCTTAAGCTACAAATTTGTAATGATAACAGCTTATGGTTATTTAACCCTTGTGAGCCAGGGTTTGCTTACATGTGGTAACCAGCCCTGGCTAAGCGTTATTACTGTATTTTTACCAAAAATTTGCTCAATAAAATTCTTATACTACTTATGCAAATTTTAAAAAATAAATAAAAAATAAATAAGTACTATTCTTCAGAAACAGTAAGATGATGATTAAGTTTTGTTACACATGTCGGCTGAGAAGCAGCAGCTTGTTGAAAAAGGAAGTAATGATTGTGCTCTTCGTGACACCCAGCTGACTTGCCATTTTCATCTAACTTGTACTTGCTGCTTCTCCTAAACTGCAAATCCAAGTTTTTAGCAATGCATCATTATAAGGTACTATCCATCTGGAACAGTGAAGCACTGAAAAGTAGCAACTTGTTTAGTGAAGATAATAAAAAGTATGCTCTCACATTGACAGATTTCATCTGTCAATGTGAGATGGATTGGCCTAGATAGGCCTACACCTCAGTCACTGACACTCATAATAGAATGCTGTATGCTGATATTCCAAGTTTTGGCTGACAATTTTTTTTTTTATTCTTTTATTTTTTATTGGCTTTTTTTTTGTTTTTACTTAATTAGCAATATTTTCTGAGGTAGTGACATCCGAGTCTGGAGAAAGCCTTCTAGCTCCATGGATGCAGACATCTATAATGACATTAACTGTACACAGGGCAGTGAAATCAAAAGGAAATCAAGTATTGAAAAATCATGTCAGGAATGACCAAACTTAAGTACCTTTTTTTTTGTCACATAAAAGCATTAAATATGGGGATTTGTATATATCACAGAACATACACATTCTTAAATAAAACTATGCTTTAATATTAGTATGCAGTAGAAATACAAATAGAGGATTTTACTGATATGGTTTCAAATTAATTGTCATTTAGTGTATACAGAGGCTTGTGTAGAAGTGTGCATGTGTGTGGAGGAGGTTCCTTGGGGATGCGTACATATGTACATACTGACCAGTAAAGCCTCACATTTGGCAACCCAAAAAAATATTTCTACTGAAATTGAATTCAACATAGCCTCCCCCACCACCTTTCATCAAATACATTGAGTAACCTCACAAAAAACAAAGCACATAGACATGTATCAATTCTGCAGAGTGTGTGTTAATAGGTGGACATTCAACTAGCCACATATAAATTGTAGTGTTAATATGTGGAGGGAGTGAGCTAGCAAATGACTGATATTATTAGGGATAGAAGTTTACAAGGTACAGAATGCAAGACAAACCAAAGGTAACTGAACTGCAGTTTTTCAATTTTTATTATTTGCATTTAGCAGGCTTATTCAGTATACCAATTACCTGCCAAATGCAAGATTTACTGCACATGATTTTTTTTATGTATGTATACATGTAAGAGTGTGTGTGAGAGTGTGTGTAAGAGTGAGAGTGAGTGAGTGAGTGAGTGTGAGTGTGAGTGTGAGTGTGAGTGTGAGTGTGAGTGTGAGTGTGAGTGTGAGTGTGAGTGTGTGTGTGTGTGTGTGTGTGTGTGTGTGTGTGTGTGTGAGTGTGAGTGTGAGTGTGTGTGTGTGTGTGTGTGTGTGTGTGTGTGTGTGTGTGTGTGTGTGTGTGTGTGTGTGTGTGTGTGTGTGTGTGTGTGTGGGTGTGTGTGTGTATGCCTGAGATGAAATATTGCTACAAGAAGAAAGGAACCAAAATACATACTTCTTTTCAACAAAACTTTTTGGTGTTCCACTTGAGTACAGTAATCTTTGTCAAACTTTGAGGATCTTGTTTCCTTTTTCACTGTAGCAGTATTTCAAATCCTTTAGGCCAAAAATTACAGTGACTGTGCTTTTCTTTATTTTTTATTAATAAACTTTCCTATTAGCAAAACACTCACTGAGGTGGCAACTACCTATGTGTTATATGACTGTAAATTCTACAAAAGCTGGTTACATTCCATTAGTATTTTTTATATTGTTTACAGAATTACTAGCATTTCAATTCACCTATCACATGTATTTTAAAATGCAAGCATACAATATAGACATAGACCCAACACCAAGGGAAAGCAGGTCATTCCATTTAGTATGTCCACCCTTTCACTGCAGAATTAATTTCACGTACATGAGGGCCACAAGTGGATATATCTGCCGATAGAATTTTAAAAATTAACTGCCGAATGCACAGTTACCCCACGGTCCTCTTCCAAAAATGTCTTAATTATTTGGAAGACAGTAACTCTCCAACCAGTCACTTAGCCTAGTATGCAGTGCCACATATGTAAGGTAAAGCAAATGACCAGATAAACAGTCAATTCCTAATGGATGAAATATGCAATTTTCATTCTCAGATAGGTATACCATTGAAAAACACTGGAAAAGGCCAAATTACTTATATTGTAAATATACAAAATAGAATGGTTGAGAAATAATTGTCAAACACATCACATTTATGCATGGAGGGAGGGAGAGAGGGAGAGAGGGAGAGAGGGAGAGAGGGAGAGAGGGAGAGAGGGAGAGAGGGAGAGAGGGAGAGAGGGAGAGAGGGAGAGAGGGAGAGAGGAGAGAGAGAGAGAGAGAGAGAGAGAGAGAGAGAGAGAGAGAGAGAGAGAGAGAGAGAGAGAGAGAGAGAGAGAGAGAGAGAGAGAGGAGAGAGAGAGGAGAGAGAGAGTGAGTGAGTGAGTGAGTGAGTGAGTGAGTGAGTGAGTGAGTGAGTGAGTGAGTGAGTGAGTGAGTGTGTGTTTAACCTCAGACAAGCCATCCACTGGGTGCTTGGATCATCCACTTATTGTGGCAGGACAATCAATAACAGCTTCTATTGAGGGAATAGAAAAGTTGAGACATGAGGTGGCTGTTCTCTCAGAAGTGAGGGGACCTGGCAGCAGCATAATTTGTGTAGGTGATTACACCTTTAACTGGTTGGGCCATATTGGATGAAACCATCTTCACGGGGTAGCCATAACCTCTCCTACAGGTTCTAGTTTTCAGTAACAGGTTACTCTAATTGATAAAATTGAAACATGCTTTTACCTTCATGTCTCTTATTCAGTCCTACCAATGTTTTTAACCCATTTCTGCCGGGCCACGCCATGCGGCGTCATAAAGAAATGCTTGATCTGTGGAGTGCAGCCGTATGTTGTGGCAACACACCAAAGCCGGGCATTCAGCTTGATGTAGCGAACTCCTGCACTCAAAGTCGGCTTGTTGCCATAAATCTCCAGAGTTTTTTTATTTATTTTCTTGACCCAGTGAAAAGGGGTTAACTTTAAAAGAGGTGTTCTTGCACTGGGCACCTGGTTTTTTCTCCTAAGACAATCTAGGCCACCACGTTGTCTCCTCCTGAGACATCCCTGGGTGGTGGAGGACCCTGGCACAACCTAGTAAGTTGTGGCTTGAAAAGACCTATCAGAGTTAGAGATGGACCAAGGATGTACCTGGTGACTCACCATGAGGGACCCTCATAGATGGAAACAAAAGGTGGATGCAACTATGCATTCCTGCCAGCATTAGCCCAGTGATCAACTGACTGATTGAGCTAAATATAAAGAGCAAGAGGAATACATGGAGTTATTGTTATGTATAGAATTATAGAGCTGCACAGAGCTATTGAGCAATACAATCATATATAGTTATATATAGAGCTACCTAGCTATATGGAGAGCTACAGCTATATATAGAGCTATATATAAAACTATAATCGGCCAGCTGTATAACTGATATCAAAATGACCAAAACAATAATTTTGGCAGTCATGAACATCTTTGGCAGATATACCCATTTGAGGCAATGAAAGGGTTAAAGCAGTTAAGATGAAGATTCACTGTGAAGGGATTTAGCTTCTGTTTACACAAAGCACATCTGCCATGGGTTTATGCACTATTCACTGTAGTTCTTTTTTTTCTAATTTTGGTGCACACAGATGGCTCCATAAGTGTAACCATTCCTGATTTCCCCATTCCTTGAATTTGTGGCAAATATCTTTTTTATGCTATTAACATTGGCACTGTTAATATCATTGACATTATGATTATTGTTGTGATCAAGGTAAGAAAGTTAAAATATTTAATTCATAAAAAAGAACCTTTCCAAAAATCAAGAAAATGGTTAAGCAAGTGAGACAGGTAGGACTAATAACTGGGTCCTTGGTGATTAACCCAATGGTGACGGGTGACGGGTGACGGGGGAAGGGAAGGGAAGGGAAGGGAAGGGAAGGGAAGGGAAGGGAAGGGAAGGGAAGGGAAGGGAAGGGAAGGGAAGGGAAGGGAAGGGAAGGGAAGGGAAGGGAAGGGAAGGGAAGGGAAGGAAGGAAGGAAAGGAAAGGAAAGGAAAGGAAAGGAAAGGAAAGGAAAGGAAAGGAAAGGAAAGGAAAGGAAAGGAAAAAAAACAAAAAAACTACACTCTGGCAAACAATGGCAGCGCGCCAACTTTGAGCGTGTGAATTTGGTACATCAGCCCGAATCACTGGCTTGCCGCAGCATACAGCCACACGCCACTTTTCAAGCGGTTTGTTTTCATGCCAAGTGGCGTCACCCATTGGGAAGGGGTTAAGCACTTGCGGAGCCATCCATATGTAAACACAATTAATAAGCTAAAATTTCAGTGGACATAGCATGTATCTTTGCCATCTACATTAAAGAGGTTAAAAAAGCTAAATGAAAGATACACTGAATTTTGATGTTCACTTTGTTTCCATAGCATGAGAATCAGTCCTATCTTCCATTTCTACATCATTACTACCTATAGATGTAATTGGACTGACACAATTTTGTGTATGTCTTGCACTGGTTTCATAAGACGGTCTTTCTTGAGTTGGTTGACTCCCTGTCAGGTCAGAAAGGCTTCGAGCTCCACCCCGTGCCCTGACTGGCGACCCAGAGAGAGACATAGATTCTTCTGGGTTTAGTCGAACAGCTGCGAAGTTAATGGATGGAGGACTTGGGGAGGCATTCATGTGCAGACTAGAAGGCAGTGGTCCTGCTGATGATCTTCGCATAGCTACAGGTGACATGGTGAGTGAATGTGACGGTTGGTCAACTGTCATCCCACTACTACTAGTGCTTCTCATGCCTGCCATTCCATTGCTACTAGCACTTCTTATGCTAAGGGGAAATGGCTGAGTGTATGTTACACTGGCAAACTGTGACTGCGGGAGAGGAGGTGGATTCACAGAAGTACCAACTCTTATCATCCCCAAAGGGTGAGACACAGCTGGTGGATCAACTGGCCCTGTTGATGCTAGAGGACGATTGTGACTTAGGCAATGCTTTTCTGCATGGTAAATCCTCAGTACTTGGCTAACAACTGGATGTGTATCTGGATCACTTAACCACATATTAGCATTATTAGGGCTTTCAAACAACATCATCAGAGCTGAAATCCAGAAAAAAGTAAGTATTAGTGTCTATATATGTGTACATTCAATATATCACCACTAATGAATTACTTCATAACTAATGCTGAAGCCAAACACAACAAAACATTATATAGTAACAAAATGTAAGTAATGTTTATAACACATTATATCTATAATTAAAAAATCATACACAATACATAATTACTACAATCAACAACAACAACAAACACTACAATAAAGTTTGTTAATATTACAAAAGATCATTTTAAAAATTAAAAAACCTGGCCATGCCATAATATGGTATACAAACTGAAGCGGAATGACATCTTATTATTTTACCTAAAAGTGTTTTTGGCTTTGGTAATGCCAGCTGTATCACAGGAGATGCAAGAATGGCCGAGATAATTGGTGAATCTCGTTCCAATCCTTGGTCATCTGGCATTGTCGAACGGTTGCTCAGCAGCAATTCACACTGAGAAAGCAGGATTCATATTAGGTTTTTCAAATGGATATTGCCAAAAGGCCGATCAACACACACATACATAGACACTGAGACAGACAAACAGGTACAGATAGACAGACAGACAGACAGACAGATGCACATACACACATACATAAACACATGCACACACACTCATACACTTACACACATGCACACATACGCGCGCGCGCGCACACACACACACACACACACACACACACACACACACACACACACACACACACACACACACACACACACACACACACACACATACATATATGTATATATATATGGTCAACTTGTCTACACTAGTTTATTCTTAAATCTTTCTTCTCTTTATTAGCAACCTAACAATAATCACATCACAGTGAGAATGGTCTGTACTTACTGCCCTATTCTGCTTATTTCCACTGCAACGGAGTGCTTCAGTAACCTGCTCTTTACTGAAACCCATGTTTACTAATTTTTCCATGACCTGCATGTTGGGCTGTAATGTAAGAATGTAAATCTATTACACACTGGCACACATTTACCCCATTCAGTGTGATACACTTACATCACAGATGAACATACCCAATTATTAAAACAAGACAGGCCAAGCATCTCCGGGTTTATGAGGGTGGCAATTTACATGAATAAAGTGTTCTCAACTGAGCCTAATACAAAAATCTGAGATGAAGAATACTCTCAGGGAAGTGTAAACTGCTAATTAGAATAAATATAAAAAATTAGAATGGTACTGAATAATTCCACAGTAAAGTTGTTGTTTTTTTTAGTTTCTGCACATCATCAAGAAATTCTATCATGTAACATCAGACAAAACATTGCTTACATTGCATTTTGGAATTATTCTTATACATCCACACCTTTTTCTATTGGTAAATCACAAATAACCTTCTTTTTTAATACATTCTATTACTCATTTCACCTTTATTTTCACACCCCTTTATCAGGCTATTTGCATCTGGAAGATCATTTCATGGGTATGCCATTATTAACCCAATTGCGCCGGGTGTACAAAACAAAACAAAAAAAACTCTACGCTTAAACAAACAAAGGCGGCGCGCCGATTTTGAGTACGTGAGTAGGGGACATCAGCCCGAATCACTGGCTCGCCGCACTTTGGCGTGCCGCCGGCTCGTTCGGCGGCACGCCAGCTTTCGAGCGCTTTGTTTACACGCCGATCGGCGTCACCCGGCACCAAGGGGTTAAACATATAAAATAGAAGTCTAGTTACTTGATGTGATTTAATTCTTAAGAGGATTATTTATATGAAACAAATGTGAGGCTATTACAATTGAAGAGCAGATCTCACCTATTAACCCAATGCCACTGGGGAAAATGAATAAATATGGGCAAAATGCTGTGCAAATATTTTTTTGTTTTTGTGAAATGTTTCTGCACAAAAATGGCTATTTTAGTGCTTAGGCACAAAGGAGTCAATTAGTAGACCTTGTGACTGTACCTGATTTCATTTTCCTTGAATTGGCTGGAAAAACATATTTTTTCTAGTGCTATGAGTACTGATGGTATTATTTTTATAATAAATATCATAATTACTATAATGTTATATACATCAGCCAAATAAGATAACGTAAAATATTTCCGTTAATCAAAGAAAAGGGTAAACTGGCAAGACAGGCAGTATTCTTAATTGGCTCATTGTGACTTAATACAAGTGTAGCCATCTATATGTAAAAACAATTAATAAAGTAAACTCACAGTGGGCATGGCATTACATACATACCATGCCTGTTGGCATTGGTTGAAAATCAACGCAATTATGATGAAAAGTGGATCATAAATCATAAACATATAATACACTGAACTAAGATCACAAAGTATAAAAATCTGGATCCTTAACAAACCTGGAACCATTTACGATGGTATTGCAAGAAAGTGTTCAATATCCTCTTGGCTGGATCCCCAGACATATCTGTGGAAGCTGAAGAAACTGCAGCATGTGCTGCTGTTTGTTCTGTGGCCATCCTGTTGCTTGCAGCATCAACTTCATCACTGACAGCTGCACTACTGCTTCTGTTGCCCTGTTCTAGAAGCCATTCCATTGCCTCCATAACATTTCTAAGGAAAAAAAATATATATATATACATATATATATATATATATATATATATATATATATATATATATATATATATATATATATATATATATATATATATATATATATATATATATATATATATATAAATACATGTTTGTAGTATATCTCAAGATTCACTGGCAAAATGATGCACAGTGAGAGAACTTCAGATTTTAGAACTGCTATTCCATCCTGTAAACTACTAAGAGAAAAAATTGCAGTTTTCATTATTGTCTATTATGTAAATTTTCTGTCCATATTCTGTTGCACTGGCAATGTGTTTAAGGTTGGACAAGGTCAGGTTTCACTGACATTGCCAATATGGTCAATCTTGAGATGTCAAATAAGTATAAAACTGAAACAGTAATTGCAATGCTTTCTCCTATAAGATAAGGTAACGTAAAACATTTTCGTAAATTAAAGAAAAGGGTAAACGGGCAAGACAGGCAGTACAAGTACAAGTGTAGCCATCTATGTGTAAGAACAATTAAACAAGTAAACTTACAGTGAGCATGTCACGTATACATGACGCCCGGCGCGAATAAGTTAAGCATAAGTAATTAAAAAATATTTTCAAACAGGTTTCAAACATGTCACACACTTCCCCGTTGCCCATCCATGCTTCGACATCTGACACTCATCCTTCATATAGCCAGAATGATCCTTACCTCTTGGCATGTAATGCTTTGGTGGCTTCTGCCTCTGGAAAGCCCATGTCTGTCAGCTGTCGGAGTGCATTTTTATCAATGCGTGGCCTGTGTCTACGTTCAAGCTTGTCCAAGATCTGGGTGAAGATTTCCTCAGAATCTGGATCAGCACTCATGAGGCGGATGGAGGCTTCAATCATTGTTATCAAGATCCTTCGAAATTCTATCTGAAACTGTGAGATGGCAAAAACAGTAAACAAGTACTCTGCATGCTTTTGAGAAGAAAGCTGTTGATGTATTTAACACACTTTAATCCTGAGGTTACAATTTTAGCTCATACCTAATAACACAGACATCCTACTCTTTGGGTTTTTCTTCATTATCATCTTATCATTATTATTACTATTACTAAAAAATGAAAATCAACATTAATGTATGTATGTATGTGTGTGTATATATATGTATATATTTATATATTTATATATTT